TTATTTATCATTTTACTGGGATTTGGGTGGATTTTTTTGTACTTTGATGCCTATAATAATGGTTTAATTAAACTTAAATCTTTTTTGCAATTTTTAAAATAAAGCGCATGTGATGCCTTTTCTGTTGCGTAATCAAGTTCTTGAACAAAAAAAGATTTTGATATGAGGCAAAATTATTGTAATTCATTTATTGATTAAAGGAATTTATTCCAGAAGTGATTTTTATTCCAAACAACACAAAAATTCGATACATCATCATCAAAAGATTGATGCCAATCTGCCGAATTTTATTGAATTTCTTGACTGTTTATTTATTTTCCAGTTCACAATTTGCTAAATATATCTGATAGCTCACAAATCAAGTGTGAAAATATTTAAACGACAATTTAGTCATTGTTCTTGGGTTAGAAAATGGAATATTAAGTCTGTTATGTTTTTTGATCAGATTTTCTTTATCAATAGTCTTATGAAAAAAAAAAGTTAATATCCTTAACAGCGTTTATAGCAATTGTAAACATTTTGATTTTGCGTTATCGATGAAATTATTTTTAGTAAAAAAAAAAAAATTAATTTTTCAATTATCAAGATTTTAAAATATTCCCCAGAATTTGACGGCTATTAAGACCATTAGAATCCGATATGTGTAAACCCTATATATATATATATATATATATATATATATATATATATATAAAACATGCCCAAACTTTATTTTCTGACAATTATTTTAGAAAATAATTACAAACAACTTTGTAGATTTTTTCCAAAATACTGAACACATTTTTTATATCATACGTTTATTGGTTAGATTTTAAATCCCAAAATATGTTCATGGAAGATTGAAGTTTAAAAAACCTATTTTTTTCAATGCCTACTCGCCAAATCGATAAATAAAAAACTCAGTTTCCTATATTTTATTGGTTCAAAGATGCAGCTGTCTCGGATTGTTTGTATCTTCTGAAGACATGATTACTGAAATTTCTTTCTACATTCAGGTGTTTTGAAAGTTTAAAAAAAAATTATTCAAATGAATTTTCTACAAAAATATCTTTGGTCATGGAATTTGATGGCCAGAAAAAAAATCAAATTTTAAAGATCCCATTTACAGATAGATGACCAGTTTTTTTTTATATCCAAATTTTTATTTTTAAACTACATTATATAATATATATATATATATATATATATATATATATAAATATATATATATATATATATATATTTTTATTCCTTTTGTAAAACCCGTAATCCATTATGGTTATATATTTGATACAGTATTTTTATTTATTTCTGAGGCAAATTTAAATTTATCCGAAACAATCAACTTTTTGTTTTTTTATATTTTATTTTTTTTTCGCCTTCATCGATTGCCACCGTGGCTATAAACCCAGTCTGACCTAAATTAACAAAGATGGATTGATGTTAAAAAATGTATTAATTATTCACATGCAATAAAATGCACAGATTAAAATTTATTATGGATATATTAAATAAACTTTTAAAACTTAGTGATAAATAGTAATTGTAGGTTTATTACCGTATTTTCGTTCATGTTGATTTTATTTGGAACTGGAGACAAAACAACGTGATTTATTTCTACCACATTGATCAATTTTTCATCTGAAAAGAAAATTTATATATATATATATATATATATATATATATATATATATATATATATATATTTATTGGATATACATGTGAGTTTTGACCCACATTTCAAAAGTTTTAGCGATCGTCAACAAACTGATTAATGTTTTTAAAAAATTGGGTTTATGTAGATTGTTAGTGTATTGGTGTTATTGTGGAAAAGTGGTGGGGGAAATTTCGTCGTTTTGTCATTCATCGTAACTAAATTCAAACATTTATGATGTATGCAGACATATTATACATGCTTGTTCGTCCGTCGGGACTCATAAATATATAAACATATGTGGGCAAAAAAACAATATGTATACTGGTGGTGTTATTTTATACATACGCATTTGTATGTCCAAATGTTGAAATTGAAACATTGGAAGTGTTTATAAATGTCTCAAAAACAAAAATGTCGTTTCCAATTAGAATTTCAATTTAGAAATGCTATTATATATTCATTGGATCAACTGAAAAATTACATCATTTACATTTTATGTTTAAATTTATTTTTTCAATTTTTGAAAAAAAAAAATATTCTTGTTTGTTATTTTAAAGCTGGTTATTTGTTTGTTTGATTTTTTGATTTAAACATTATTGTTTTGACAGGTAGATAATTTGTAATCCTTATTGTTTTAATTTATATGGTTATGTTTAGCTCTATCTCTGATATTGAGCGAAAAAAAAAAATAAGTAGATTAATATTTGGATAAAATTCATTATACATATATATATTTGTTTATATTTTCCTATTGAATTATTTTTTTTTTATTTATGTGTAGCATTTTTAAAATCAAAATTGTGGTTGAATTTATTTATATATATATATATATTTATATATTATATATATATATATATATATTTATAGATATCTGGATTTTTTAAAAAATTTCTGTGTGTTTCTCCAATGTATTCTGTTTCAAAATATTTATTGCTATGGATGTTTGAAGATCTGATTATATCCATAAGGCCGCTGTCATTATTTTGAGATTATTTAAATGGGAAAAGGCTGTAACGTTTAACGTTAGTTAAATGAAAGTAGTATTAATATCTGTTCTTGTATAATTTAATATTATAGAACTTATTTTTTGAAAGGCTGAAATATTTTTCTAGTCAGCTTTTTCTTGTCATGGATGAAATTATATGAACACTGTAGGGTTTTGAATATGTTTTTATGTATGTTTCTATTGGGTAAATATATATAATATAAATTCTTATATGCTCTTAAATATAAACCTATAATTATTCCAAATTTAATTTATAGGAGTTGATGGTAACCCCATTATTCTGATTTTTGTTTGTAAATGTTTTTTATAAATGTCAAAATTAAGTTTATTATTGTTTTTGTAAAATGATATCTAGGAATTTTAAGAATGTAGTTGGTTTCATTTTCTTTAGAAAATTTATAATTGTGATAAGCTGGTTGAGAAATATCTATTAAATTAGTATTTTGTAAACATATATTAATACGACCAACACATGCATCTGAAAAGTATAAGAGTTTGAAGATAGAATGTTTTTTAGATGGGTTAAAAACGTTATAAAAAAATAGATTCATATAGAATGCCACTGAAATTTTTCTCCTATAGTTAACCAACTCTACGAAAAAAATTTGGTTTATCAAAAATAAAGAAACATTCCTTTCTTGATTAGTTGGCATATTTTTATGATTTTATAAAAAATGGTAACCTATTAATTTTTGTTTTGTTGTACCTTTTTAGTAGATTTAAAGGCACATTCTCTATAGGGGACATTTGTGTATAGAGATTTTATATCTAAACTACATATATTTGTATTTTCTTTTTGAATTTGTTTAGGAGGTCATCTGAATTTTTTATATGTGATGGAAAAGTGCCAAAGTGTGAGGTTAAGATTTTTGTTTAGTGGACAGACCGTGGGTTCTATATCCTGATGGAAATTGGTCTCATTGGTATGTTTGGTTATGTTTTTGGTAGTTCAAGACTAAATGGGGTGTTTTGGATGGTATTCAATAAGTTTTATCCAGGAAAAGTCTTCATTTTAGAAAAATTTTGATGTTGCTTGTGAATTTTGTGTTTCTTTTATAGCTTTGTTTTCATTTACTTTTCATTGATGTTGTCATCATTAATGAGGTTTCATTTTCTGTTGATAAATATCTTTATCCATGATTAAAACTAGGATATGCTTCTTATCATCATAGTTGATTAAAATGAACTCAAAATACTGAATAACAATAAAAATTGTCCAAGGTCTATTACAAAAAGATATAATAACAAACTTATCCAAATTCCAACTATCGGATACACAATTAGAAAGATTTGGTCAAAAGCGACTGTTTGCTGCTGGAATATCAATATATGACATATATATTCGTTTACATAATTAAAAAAAATCACAATTAACGTTATCCCATTTTAACAAAGGCTATATTTTAGTGACGTTCATTTATATATATATATTTATTATATATTTTCATTGAAAAGTGAATTAAATATATATATATATATATATATATAATCTTTGACACTATTTTTTTTTAAGGTATATAAAAGCCTTGAAAGAATTTTTGTTTATATAAAAAAGTCTCCATTTTTTACTTTATGTAAGTCAGTCATTGTTTTCTAATCATGGATAAACACATTTATCAACAAAAAAATGAGAGACCTCATTAATGTTTTTTTTTTACCTCCAAAAAAAGTGTTGCTCATTGGATGGATCCGTGATAAACCTGATTTCGTTTCGAGTCTTGTCTTCATCTTTTTATAAATAGTCTTTTTTTTACTACCGTAAAGATATATACGGATGTTATATATATATATTATATATATATATTTTCTCGTTACTAAACAAACTCTCATGTCACGCAATACTCTGCCCAGATTTTGGAATGTGTCCTTGGCCATACCAACACGTCTACGTATCTTAGTGTCGGACATACCGTCTTCTGTCAAAACGCTTCCCAGATATTTAAACTCTCGCGTCTGCTTGATTCTAATCTTCCCGACCTGCAAATCGCATTTCGAGTTCATCCACTTACTGATGACCATGCATTCTGTCTTTAAGAACTAGTCGAGATAACTCTAGATATGGTCAACGGAACGAGAACGTCCTACACACGTTGATTATTTCGATAGAGATTTGGATTTGATGGAAGGCAAGAAGGTACAACGATCGAAACGTCTTGATAACGATAACAAAGATGAGTACAATAACGCACGTGTAATTAATGTATATATATATATAAGCCCGTTTGTGCTAGCAATATATGAACAGATTTTGATAACAAACGTCTAATCGTGCTGTAATAAAAGCAATGTTTTATGTCTAAATTTATCTTTCCACATCTACATGAATCAAATAACAAATCACTATTGACCAACTCCCAAATGTTTAGACCGAACATCCATCCAGGAAACCAGATAGACAGACTCCAAGAGACGGGGGGAAAAGAAAAGTAGGCGAAGAAGGACGCATTCATGAATCAATCAACGTCATGAACTCTCCGGTGAGTCCAACCTCTGGATGGCCGGAGTCGCCTACAAAGATCAGAGACAGGCCAGAGCTGACCGGCAATTAGCGGATTGGAAGGAGATCATTTTACGAATATCTATTTACTCGACATCTGATTGATAAGGTAATGGCTTTACTTTCCACCATGGTGTTTTTGGCCGGAGAGTTTGAGATATTTTGTTACACAGCATAAGCGGACATATTCATTTCGCTACTTTTATGCTTCGATTCTGCTGCATGTGTAGGGGGCGTTAAAACGTACCAGGCTAAATAGGCAAGAAAGGTTGGTTAGTAGAGATAGACAAATCTAGAAAATGTTCGAGAACCTGGAGAGACAGAGTGGTATATCTTTCCCTGAGTAGCTGATGGTTAACATAACGTTCAATATATATATATATATATATATATATATATATATATATATATATATATATATATAAATATATATATATATATATATATATATATATATATATATATATATATATATATATATATATATATATATATATATATATATATATATATATATGTATATATATATATATATATATATATATATATATATATATATATATATATATATATATATATATATATATATATATATATATATATATATATATATATATATATAATAGAATAATCCTAATTTTATTGTTTATAATATATATATATATACACATCTTTTGTCAGATCGTTTTATCTATCTATCTATCTATCTATCATTCTATATATATATATATATATATATATATATATATATATCCAGTTTGTTCATTATCTATCTATTCATTTTATCATCTATCTCAGCCTGTTCCTATATATCTATCTATCTATCTATCTACCTATCTCAATTCATATCTATCTATCTATCTATCTATCTATCTATATATATATATATATATATATATATATATATATATATATATATATATATATATATATATATATATATATATATATATATATATATATATATATATATATATATATATATATATATCCAGTTTGTTCAATATTCATTATTATCTATCTATCATCTATCTATCTATCTATCTATCTATCTATCTATCTCAGCCTGTTCCTATCTATCTCTATATATCTATCTATCTATCACTGTTAGTATACTTCGGAAAACTTTTCCTTGACATTTTTTTAATAGAAATATTTCATAAATGTCAACCAATAGTAGTTCTGGCTTTCCACTTCATGAATATTTAAAATACCCTTATAAGGAAATGTCTAATATTACCATTACCATAACTATTAACATCTATCTATTTATCTAGCTAACTCAGTCTGCTTAAATCAGTTTGTCTAAATTATTCTACCTCATTTTCTGTTAAAGTGTCACTCAGAAATCATAATTATATCTCATTATAACGTTCTTCTCTTTATATGAATGTATGTTAGTTCAGATTAAATATTGATTGTTGTAAAGGACACTTTGAAGAACACAACTATAAAACTGTAACCAAAATGACATCGAACCAGGACGCCATATTAACATAAGGTAAAGCCTTTTTGAAAATAATACCGTTTTATAATATCACTGACAAGAGGACAGAAGGGTGGTGGAAAATCTTAGTGCTAAATTGGGTTAAAGATGCATTACAAAATGCATGCAACAATATGAATATATGCATAATTTTTACAATATTTATATTGACATATGCTCATTCCAGAATCATTCTAAAATAAATGCACCCATACACAAAGCCAACCCAACACCGATACACACACACACACACACACACACACACACACACACACATATATATATATATATATATATATATATATATATATATATATATAATTATTTATTCGAAAATTATAACATAAATATGTCATAAAAATCATTACAAAAATAGCCATTTTGTTTTAGCACTTCTGGTGTCTTATCAAGTGATGGTGTTTCTATATTCAATAGTATCTGTAGCTTATTGGAATTTCTTCCGTATACACCAATCCTATTTTGGGGCATATATACATATATACATATATATATAAGAATTTTTATGTTTATGCATTCTTTTTATAAATAGAAATATTTACGTAAATACTCTGTTTATAATAAACAGTATTAAACATTTACCGGCCTGAATGTCCCAGAAATGTTGTTTAATACTGTTTATTATAAACAGAGCATTTACTTAAATACTTGTATCTATAAAAAGAATGTATTAACATAAAAATGTCTTAAAATAATTGTCGGCTTTTTGTCCATTTCATAATATATATATATATATATATATATATATATATATATATATATATATATATATATTTATATATATATATATATATATATATATATATATATATATATATATATATATATTACTTATATATTATATATATGCGGTACTTATTGAAAGAGCTCAATATCAGCAATAGTGCTAACATATTTATTTGCGTTGATGTCAGTTTGCGACCCTGGGTTTCACGTTCTTTGCGATCGTCAGACAAACTGATTAATTTTGAATTTTGGATTTGCGTATATAGGTGTTTTATAGTAGTGGGAGGAAAAGATTGTCATCTGAACATTCACGCATTGCAGCTCGCACAAAACAGTGTGGGACAGGACGTATATGCGCGTCCATGCCTTGTTGCGTGCATACGTACGCAATTAGTCGCCGTATTCAGTGTTTCCAAGTGGCGGTGTCAACTTATAGATCGTTCGTCTATTTTCTTCACACGCTCTTTCACTCATCTTCTATGCGTCATTTAATTATTTTATTTTTTACTTATATATTGACACCGCAATAAATGAATGATGAAAATAATAAAATGTTTAACATATTTCTCGATTTTTTTTATTTAAAAATTAGAAAAATATCATTAGGGAAATGGAATTTTTGTGCAATATATGCAACACATGCACTTACTAATATAATGTGACAAATGAAACTTATGATATCTATTACTTAGAACTACACAGTTGTCCTCATCATTTTTATTATTACAAGATGATTATTTATTCAATCTACCGGGGTAGATTGTTTAAATTCCTTTTACTATGTCTATGGGTATCTGATATGGGGCCAAAGTCGGGACCACGGAAGGAAAACACGGAATTAGAGGTAAGAAAGATATATTAAACAAAAAGGTTACAAAGATAGTGTAAGTGTAAGCGGAGCTTCCTATGTGCTAGTGTCCAATATTGGTAGTCGCACGCGGCTGATACTACGGTATTAGAATACTCTCTCTCCTCCTCCTCTTTTCTCCTTTTAGAGTGTTATATCGCATACTTTATATAGTCCTGGAAGAGTCCATGTTGTAGGTATGTTACGGTCTCACAATAGTATCGTATCCTAATTCCCCTAGGAGAATCCTCAGTAGAGGAACTTAGTATTTTATAGCCTTTGGATGTCGTCATTTGGGACAATCCCGAGTATAGAAATTGGTATTATATAGCCGTATGTGTTGCTCCCTCCCAACAATGCGAACGACGTATTAGTGAATGGTTTCCAGTAAGGAGAGCGGAGACCACATGCAGGATGTGATGAGATGCTTAAAATGAAATCGCTCAGCCTCACTTATATATATGTGCCCAAGTATAGGATTGGTGTATACGGAAGAAATTTCAATAACCTATAATTATTATTCTTAAAAGATTGCTCAACACAGAGTAGAGCAAATATAATTATTTATTCCAAAATTATAACATAAATATGTTATAAAATCGTTATAAAAATAGCCATTTTGTTTCAACACTTCTGGCGTCTTATCAAGTGATGTTGTTTCTATATTCAACACCATCACCATGATTTTACGGTTGGACATTATATCCAGCGTCACGAAAGGTTGGTACGACATGGACGCCGTTGGTCGCAATCATTAGAGCATTCACAGACACTGGGAACTTAGCGTGTATTTGCATGGTTGTGTGCGTATAGATTTTTCTAGAGTTCTTCTCATTAAGCAGGAAGTTTTAAGAATTTCTGAAGGAAAAATGGGCAATGTATGAAAACAAAAAGGAAAAAAAAACAGGTAGAGGGAGGAGGGACAAATAGTGAACGAAAAGAAAGAAAGACAGAAATTAAGAAAGGAAGAAGAAAAGGAAACAAGAGAAATAGAGTAATTTATGAAAAGAAAGAAAGAAAAAACTACAAAAAAAAATAAAGCGAAAGGAAAGACATAATGTAACAAAGAATTAATCAAAGAAATTAAAGAATGAAAGAAAGAAATAAAGAAATATGGAAGAGGGAGAAATGAGATTTTGTAAAAAGAAAAACATATGGGAGGAGGAGTAATACAAAGTGAATGAAAATAAGTAAATCTATATCTATAAAAGGCAGGATGTGTGTGTGTGTGTGTGTGTGTGTGTGTGTGTGTGTGTGTGTGTGTGTGTGTGTGTGTGTGTGTGTGTGTGTGTGTGTGTAACGAATGCACGGCCGCAATTTTCGACGGATTTGCTCCAAAATTTAAATGCACATGCTCCAAGTTAGCGGGAAGGCCAAGGCCAACTTTGCATTTCTCAACTCTCATCGATAGTGGAAATAATCGATTTTTTCATGCTTCTACGGCAGTTTTCATATAGTTTGCGGCCATTTTTACTGGCCTGAGTGACAGCCTATAGCTGGCTGCCACAAATAGGCAGGAAAATTCTATTGGCCAGCGTGAGTGCCAACAGCTGACTGACACGAATTTTAACTAGCATGCAAAAAAATCGATAGATGCATTCGTCACAAGTGGGGAAAATTTAAATCTGCATGACACTTTACTCCAATTGGCTCATTCGCTTGGTTAAACTCAACGTTGATTCTGATTCCGCAGAACTGGGTTAGGTGTGAAGAAAGTATTTGTTGTTAACATTCTTTTTTCATTCGGTTTTTCCAGTTACGTGTCCTTTTTTAAAGCTGATCGTTTTGTGTTCATTTTGTTTAGTTCTTTTTTCGTAACAGATTTAATGTTTAGTATAGCGCTTAGAAAAACATTCGCAGTGTGAGATAGGCAAGAAGTAAGGCATGTAGCAACATCAGCACGGCAAAGGACACTCCTTTAAAGGCAAAGAAGGGCAAAAATATTTTAAGTCAAGTGATAGCGATTGCTGTATAAGTCGTACGATTTTTGAATCAAGCACGGGCAACGCCGTGCCATGCTGCTAGAAAATAATAAAAAGAAAGTAAAAAGAAAGAAAGAAAGAATAATTATAAAGAAAAAAGCAAGATAAATGAAAGAAGTAAATGATAATAAGAATAAAAAGAAAAATTAAACAAAAAGAAAGAAAGGATGAATGAATGAAAGAAAAAATAAAGAAGAAACGTAGAAAGAAAAATCAATGTATGGCAGAAATAAAAAAGGAGAATAATTAAGAATGAAAGAAAGGAATGAAAGAAGAAATAATGAAAATAATAATTAAGACAGAAAAAAAGGAAGAAAGTGTAATAATTAAGAAAGAACGAAAGAAAAAAATAGGTAATTAAGAAAGTAAGTAAAGCGAAAAAGAAATGTTAACAATAAATAAAGTTATTAAGGTTGAAAAACGTAGGTAATTAAGAAAGAAAGAAAGAAAGAAAGTACAACGTAAGAAAGAGAGAAAAAGTAAATAAAAACAAAAAGAAAAATTAATAATAAAGAAAGAAAAGAAAGAAAGAAAAGTTAATAAGAAAGAAAGAAGTGTTAATTAAGAAAGAAAGAAAAAAGTAAAAAGAAAGAAAGTAAAAGTAAAGTTAATAAGAAAGAAAGAAAGAAAGAAAGAAAGAATGACAAATTATGGGCAAAAATTTGCTTTGGTTATCAAATCTGCATTTTTCAGCTCACAATAATTTTGAAAGAAACTATTTATATTATATTGTACAACAGTTATGATCGGCTAATGATCGATTCTCAATTACCTAACGCAGCCTGCATATACCGAACAGAAATAGAATCTTCTAAACATAAGTAATTCTTCATCTAGAGTTTCGATTTTTCAACCGATTTGTTATTTTTGAATTTTTCACATTGTCATTCATATTATTTCTTTTTTTTTTTAGAAATAGCCTAATACTTGTACTTCAAACTGGGTAAAATAAGTTTTACTATTACTTTTATTATTAATAAAACCAATTCAGTTACAGACTATATTTACGAATTTAATTAATGTAATAATAATAAAAATAATAATTCA